AAGAGTGTAAACTGCAGGCTAATGAAGACATTTGATGGGAATAATTTGTATTTGGGAAGGGCACAGAAGATTTCATTTATTTCTCTTTAAAGAGATCTCATCACCATATTAAATTTTTTATTTTTTATTTTTGAAACATAAATCTTTCACTGGCTCACTTTGATGGAGAACTAACTCGAAAATACACTTGAAGTGAAAAAATGCAGGCTCACGCAATTTTAATGCAGCTATTAGCTGGGGCACTTCTGAGTAGAGAGGAAGCAGGATTCACTTCAAGATGCAACCACCTACTTCCATATTCCTGTAGTGACTGTGTTTAAGCTCGTAGTGTAGTACAGAGACCCAGTTAATGTAGTAAGTGGTGACCAAGTGGGACACGGAGGTGTCCAGCACCATCTGCCCTCTGCAGGACTTCACCTAACTTTCAGCTGGTGCTCCAGAATGGTGCGGGGCTTCAATAGGTCCTATGCTGCATTTGCAAGACCTGTATAAATCTTTTAGATATCCTTGGTTTGGGTAAATGAATCAAGCCTAATGTGCTTATGTTACGGTGACCTGAATAGCCCTTTATACTCCACTGATTGTACTGGCCAGACTCCCATTGATCGAAGGAAGCTTAGACACTAATTCACATGTGAAAACACCTCCAGTTACTTGCCTGAATTCAGAGTTCAGGCCTACCCAGTATGATCAAATAATATCGTAACAAGTTAAATAGAACTGGTATAGACCTGGGGTTTTGCTTCTTAAACTAGAAACAGAACATTTTCAACATATTTTTTTCAGTCAGTTCTAAATCAGCAGTTAAGAACCTTGAATAAATGAAGCTACTGCACAATTGCTGTGATAGATGGCAACAGAAACATAGACAATCAGAAAAGGCTGGGATACTGTCCTGTCTAAATCAGATTATCCTCTGTTTGATACAGACTATAAATAGCACAGAGCACACAAACAACTGGGCACATTTTGAAAGGCCTTCTTTGGATTTGCATATCCTCATGACACCATTTGTTTGAGAGCTTCATTATTATAAGAAGGAGCCCTCACCTCAGCAAGTTGCTTTGGACATGTGTATTGTTTCATAAATAAGTATATTTGCCAACTACGTAATAGCAGGAATTCTGATAAACAGTGGCAAGTCAGAAAGGAAGGAATTCTCCATTACAGTTGGCAGATCACTTACAGACTTTGTACTTTGATCTCAACAGAACAATTCTTTTTTTCTGCTTCAGAACAGAGTTTCCTTCTGAGATTAGTGTCAAGTTTTTAAAATTCCTGTTTTCTTTGGGCCTAATTTTGTGGTGAACCAATACAAAAATGTAACTAGTTAAGAACAAGCAGTTGGTGTTTCTCAGAGGCAACCAGCCTTGACACATCAGGATGCTTTTTGCATTTCTTCAAGCAAGGAAATACTTATTTTGAACTTGGCCTTCCCTTAGGACTTTCTGTAAGCAGAAAGCCTGAGAAGGAACCACAGCCTGGAAAACTGTGCAGGCTGTATCTCTTCACCCAATAAAGACTATTATGTAAATCAGTTCAGAACAGGATAATTATGGCTTTAGAAAGTAACACTGTATCAAATCTCTAATGATACTGAACAAAAATACATATACTGAATTGATTCTATGCAGAGGAACAAACTAGAAATTGGAGATTAAAACTAGGGGGGAAAAAAAACAAAACAAAAAACCCCTCCTTGGGCTAGTATAGTATACATTTATAAATTGTTAATTACTGAACAATCTCAAAGCTTTCTTACTATTTGGCCTATCTTTAGCAGTTACCAACATCTTACTAAATATATGCATATACGGTTCTTGCCTGTACAAGCAAGTAATACTTAAGACAGACAAATTCAAGAAATTCTTCTACAAAATAATCATGGGCCGTATCTATTGTACTGAAAAAACCCAGGTATAAACACAGTAACATTCAGCAGTTAACAGTAAGCTATGTTTCCAGAATATCTACAAAGAGAAACCTACACTGTGATTTAAATGTATTAGGCTACACTACACTGCAAGACAATACTGAATAATGTAGTAAACTGAAAATTAGAATAAAGTTTTAATATTGAAGAACAGTAAGTGCTATTAAATTTCAAATACGGATCAGTTAATCATGGGAGATCAACTTAACACCTAATTCACAAGTGTTTCCTGAATTAGTTAGATCAACAGATGAAGTTTTTCTATTTGTATTCTCTGCTTTAAGAAGCTCTGCTTACAATGCAGATTTTGTTTTGCTTTGTTTTTTACTGTGGTAATTATAAACATTCCAACTAGATCAAAAAGCTTTATTAAATAAGGAAGTCTGGAAATACAACCTTGAAATGTTCAGATGCTGAGACAGAACTATCTCCTTGGAAATGAATGCCAGAATCCATTACTTTGATTTAAGAATGTATTACATCTTCCTCTTTCATATATTCATCACAAACTCTGTGAGATGCATCTTCCTCAAAAAATTCCTCAAGACTTTCTCTTAGTAATTGTGGAGAGATGCACACCTTAGCATAACCAAGTTTATCTTGACAGTGCTTCGTGTATTTAAAAATCTAACAGCAACACCAGAAATAGTATTTATCAAGAAATGCTTCAAGTGAAGTTCCTATCCTAATATTGAAATAAACGTAACACTGATTATCTTGATCAGATCCCCAAATGCATCCTTCTAAATCCTGCTTCTAAATCATTTCCTATGAAAATTTTTATCCAAGATTTAGTCTTAAAAATTTGACCAAACTGCAGTTTTGGAAACCGGATAGAAATGAAAATACAGATTTTAGGATTAATGCCAAATACAACTATGTAATGCTGATCTGATATATGGAAAAATCACAATTCATTAAACCAGCGCTGAACCAGGCACAATACTAGAACACCACTTTCAGGTTTTAGACTTGGTATGTAGAGGAACCATGCCTGAACCTGCACTGAAACTGAAGAATTAACTATTTACAGGGATTGTAAATTATACCCTTTGGAAAAAGATGAGAGTTTCCCAGAGTAAGATTTGCAACCAGTGAGTGACAGGTCAAAGCATTCCAACTCTCTTACCTTTTGGTGGAAAATAGGACTTGCTTTCTGCTTTGTGAGGCCAGTCTACTACCAAAGGCCCAAATCGTCTGAAGCTAGCAGTGATTTCATCTAAAAACAGGTATAAAAGTTGCAATTAAAATAAATGTGAAAAACTAATATCAAGCTAAGATTTTTGTTCTAGCAAAGGTTGACATTTCACTGAAAAAAAGGAACAAAATTTCCAACCTAAATGAACAAAAAAAGGAAAACTATGAGACATATTGCACAAATATTAATGTTTTGGAAGTTATTTCTGGTGATTTTAAGCTTTTGTTTCTCATTGCTTATTAACAGGAGCATTTCAGAAGCATATAGGCAACTAAAGGCTGTGGTGTAAACTGGTGTGGTACTTCTTTAAATTCAGAATCTGGTTTGAATGCAATCAAAACAATTTACTGTTTAATGATGCACAGTGTAGGTGGATACTCATATAGTAAGTACCACCACAATTAGCACACTAGCAGTTTTCAGCAGATACCATGCACAGATCAAGCACAGAAACTTAAAACTGCATATTTAGAGGTGCTTCTAGACAACAATCATTCTGTTGCAAGACTTTCTATGCCCTCTGCACAACTTTGTGATGTCTTTTTATCCCAGCCTCTCCTTCCTGCCACTGACTCTTAAGAACCTTGGCCATGAAGAAAAAATCAAAACCCTAAACTCTACAAGAGCAGTAACTCATGAAACACAAATATGCTTCATTTCTTTCAGTCCTATCCTGCCATCAGCACATAAACAGACAGGATAGAAACAAAGTATATTTCCATATGTCTTTGCTTAGCATTTGTATTAAAGGGAACAGTGCATATTTGAATTAGAAGCTAAAGTGCATCAAAAAAAAGGCGGAAGTATATTAAAATAAATCCCTCAGTACATTATAGGGGAGTGCCACAATGAAGATGGTCTTTTCCAACCTAGTTGATTATATGATTCTATGAAACCAAATATATGGTCTTTCAATGTCTGAAAGTTAATTAACCAGTCACCTTATTTGGCTTGAAGCTACCCTAGGATTACAGTGAACCTCACAAAGGGCCTTCTGTTTACATTACAAAGTTAGCATGTAATTTACATTTATCTGCACAGGAGAAACCTAATATTAAATGGCACGATTATTTCAAATCAGCACTGTTGTACAAAGCAAGTCCTACTGCATCACGTAACTATCTGTGCTTCTGTAGGACATTCTACGTTCAATGTATCACAGAGTGCTCTGCCACTTGACCTTCCTCTGCCTTAGTTTCTCTATTTATGAACAGGAATAATATTAACCTTTCTAAACCACTCCTGAGACCTTCAGGTAATAGCAAAACAGAATTTGAAATTCAATTAAGAATAGAAGTTTTCTATGATTCAAGCAGGTACAGACAGAGGACACTATGAAGGGCTAAGATGCATTTGAAAGGAATATGCAAGGTAAGCAAGAGCACAGATTCAAGGCATCACATGCAACTCTACGGTCTACAAGTGCAGAATCAGAGACAACTGAGCCACCTCAAAATAAAAACAGATGGATGACATCAAATGATGTTAAGCTCAACAGATCTATCGACTCTCATGAAAATATATATAGTAGTAGCCTATTGCACCACAATGTTATTTTGCTGGGTGGATTATTTCTACTACTTCATTCAGGTTTTTCAACATCTCTCTCTCTGTCCCTCCAAACTTAGTTTGCTTAGTTTTCAGGCAGCTCACCTTCATCAATGTCTGGTGGGAGACCTCCAACAAACACTTTCCGAGAAAAACGCTCAATTCGTTCTCCATTCTGATGAGCTGAATAGCAGGTGGGTGAATTCAACACTCCAACTTGATCACTGTGACCATCGTCCAGCAAACCATCGTCTATTGGGAAGAGGGAAGAACGGCCTTAAAAAGAAAAGATAATATACGTTAACATAGTTTTGTGGCAGTACGTGGTTATGCAGTTTTACAGAATGGGGAAGTAGCAGTCTGGAAAGTAAAAATGAAAATACCACGATGTTAGAAAAGTACACATTAGTTTAAAGAAAAATTAATAAAATCAAAAATGTATTAAACTTGAAAGAGGAAATTGCAAGCTGACATCACTGTAAGCACAGTAATTCATACTACGTTATATTGTAGTTATTCTGCTGCATCCAGTAGGAAAGTAGTAGTTTGTTTTTAAACAAAGGGTCATATTTATGAAGAGATCATATTAAAGGCTGTGTAAGTGAGTTTCATTAGCCTGCCTCTGGTTTAGCTTCAAGTTGAATTGCTAACTTCCATCACCTAAATGACTCCTGCATGTCTAAACATCTTACACTTTAATTGAACAGAGGGAAACAGAAAAACACGTTACAGAGTAAGTAGTTTCAAACAGGTATGTTTTCTCTTTTAAAGGTATCTGACGCTGGTAACGTAAGAACAGATTTAATTCCTAAAAAAGCAAAAAAGAACTTTAACAAATGTGCAAAATGCAACACTTGAAAAATAAGTCACAGTGTCAATTTACCCTTCTCACTTTCAAATTTACCTGTGTTGGAGGGAAGCCTTATAGTGGTTCCTAACGTGTACTAATCTGCATTAAGAGTACAGTTATCTGGAAAAGCAAGTGTAAAATCTTAAAAGTTCACGGGATGGCTCTGCAAATGCAAACCGATCAAAACAGATGCATAGATAGCAGGGGGCAGTGAAAGTATGGTATTTCCCCCCTATTTAATATTTACAGATTTTAAGAGAACGCCAGAATGAAACGACTCTGAAGGCCATGATATCCATCTTAGCTTCAATCTTTCACAGCTTTAGATTAGCAAAATAAAGACTAATGACTATTTCAAATTCAGAAGTCAGTCTTTGAACTGCAATAAGACCCTCAAAGAAACTTCAGTGAAGCAGAAATAAATACCTCACACCACTACTGCTTCTGGAATGCCATTTTTCCTGTTTCTCACTCAATTTTGAAAATTATTAATTCAACTGCTTTCCTAAAAACACTCAATCAAACAAACAAAACCAAAGAACAAACCAGCACACCTCTGGGAAGCAAGTTTATTTTCCATCTCAGATAGCCAACTTCTTCCAGATTCACCCCCTGCAAATCTGTATGCAGGAGCAGTAGGTTCCAGACATATGCATGAAGAATAATGATGCCCAATAAAAGTGAGTCCAGCAACACCAGAGCCATCTGACATTGAGTGCTGCAGTATGTTAGCTGTGAGCCATACTGCAGCCTCTAACTTTTATCCCCTCTCAGGGGAATACTACCAGGAAGCCCCATAGAAACACTGCAGCCATTATGCTGATCAGCTAGGGTGAGAGCAGTCTGGAAGCCCTGCACTTTCAGAAGATCACCTGATTATCAAGTGCTTAAAGACAAGGCTAGAGAACAGAGAACAAACATCATGACCAATGACCTGGGCTGTGGTCATGCCTAATGACCCTGATTTGGTGTCTAAATCCATTAAAAAAAGTACATCAAAAATACCAAATGTAAATGGAAGATGATAGAGAACAACCAAACACAATAAACCAGTGAGGATAACAGAATACAAGCAGGAGCACAGGACTGTAACAAAGATGATAACTAGTACACCTTTATGGTGGCATTTCATGTTTAAGTAGGCATCAATGGAGAGGAGTACAGCAAATGCAGAAAGCTGTAGCAGGCTCCTCCTTTCCATTAAGAATGGTGATAGACCATGTCACATTTAGACATACAAGAAGCAAGATCATGCTATGAAGACTGAAGCAGCTGAGTAACATGGATATGAATTTCAGTTATGAAGACTAGTAAGAATGATCAGGATCAGGCCTTAAAGATGCATATGAAGAAGTGGCAAGATTTGGTTACACCATCATGAAAGGGGGATATAACAGTGAATTTCTGAATTATTCATGTGAATGATGGAGAAGATAGAGCTGTTACCACAGCTACAGGGAAAGGAAAAAGTGGCTAAAGGAAGAAATAAGACTCAAATTGGGGGAACTCACAGGAAAACGTGAAAGTGTAAAATTTAAGCATTTTCACTAATATATGAGAGTTGTTCTTAATGTCTTAAAACTAAAACCGACTGTAATTTAACTGGGTTATCTTTATAGAAAGCATAATTTGCTCTTTACCTCTACAAGTCTCTATACTGCAGGAAAAAAGAAACTTCAGTGACTTCAAAACACGCTAATTCTAAGAAACTTGTCAGCATTAGAATATTGCCACAAAAGCATTTAAATGTGGTTTGGTGTCCCCCCCCGTTTTTGTTCTGTGTGGTTAAGACAACATAATTTATACTTAAGGAAGGTGTCTCTTTGGACCATGAAATTTAGGTTTTTCTGTTTCTCTAAAAATACTTCTTAGACAATTCCAACTTAAAATATACATAAGTATATAGGGGGGAAAGAGAAAAAAGTAATTCTCAGAATAATTGATTTTTTACCCCTCAGACCAATGTTAAAATCTAAGAACAATGAGAATCTAAGGCTGTCTTCCCAGTACAAATTAAATGATCAGAACATGTTCTGAAGTGACACTGGAGAGATCAATCTTTCTTTAATGTGGGTAAAGGTTTGCCAAAAGCACTGTAGCTCCTCAGAGAGCTAAGATGACATAAAGGACAATGGATTAACACATTTAGAGTAACATGCTCCTTAATGCTCTCTTCACTTGTTCTTTTTTGGTTTATGACAGTGAAAAAAAATAAGCAGAATCTGCCAGGAATCATCAAAACACTGTTACATACGTTGACCATGATCTAGATAATCGTTCCTCTCTACATTAGGGCTACCAAGCAATCAGTTACAAACCAATGCAGAGTTCAAGAGAGAGGCATGAACTTATGCTTATGTTGTGAATGAACTCAAAGCTATTAAAGATCTTGATGTTTTTGCTTCACACTTTACATGATCTTTATAACAACCACAGGTCATATTCTTGTACAATTACATCAGCATGGTCAGTGAGCGTATATTGGCTAATACTATGAAAATCTATTTTCTAAGAGTTGTCTACTAGATTTCTTGCTTAGTTTATGAAAGGCTTTAAGCTTTTACTCTGTACACTGTAACTGCAACAGAAGCAAAAGAAAATTAGTTAGAAGAACAACTAGCAAACTGTATACTTTTAAAGGGGCAACGGCTGCAAGCAGTAGCCATTAGCATGAACTGAATTATGATTAGAGCTACAGTGTTTTAACCAATTAAAGGATTTATAATTCAAGCTCTAAAAAAAAAAAAAAAATAAATAAAAAATGAGATCAATGATTGTAGCAGCCCAGACTGCCCCCTCCTTCCCTCACACCCTCCACCTTCCCCAGACTAAGACAACATGCAGATAAGCATTTATAATCAACAATCTGGATTAATCGTAATAATCAGTAACATCTCAATCAGAATTAATTGTATGGTAACAAGCAGAAGTGAATTACCTCGTCTTCGCCCATAACTCCTTGCTGCATGCAAACAAAGGACAAATTGTAAAATGTCAAATAACTGTATCATGCCCACATATTAAAATACAAAGAAGTATGTGGGTGAGTGTTAAAATCTGCATTGGTACTTGCTACTGCTAACTGTAGATGAGAATACATTGAACTGATGTCTCACTTAAATACCATATTGGTTTACTACCACACTGACGTTAGTACCGGCTGTAAAGAATATACTTTACAATATTTCAATGTGTCGTTATACTTTATCTTATCTTCACGTTAACTATGGATCCATAAGTTACTACAACTTTGTAATTCATCCTCACAAATATTATTTATATCTTCCACAAGTGTGTAAATGACACACAGGGTAATGAAACTGTAAAAAGGAAAATATTACTTTAAAGAAGCATGTAGCAAGCATTAAATTAATAATCACGGAAACATCCTGGTCCATGGAACAGTTTGTACAGTCCTTTACAGTGACAATACAAATGCCTTAAGCCGTGACCTTCCTTTTTCATGAAAAGACCTAGCAGAAAATTAACCGCAAGGTTTTGTTTGAAACAAAGGACTCCTTGTGGTAGCAAACAAAATCGGGGCACAAGTCACAAGAAATACCATTGTATCAAAAACACTGCACAAAGGCAAAGCAACCATTTCTGACAGACTGCAAGTAAATCCAAGATTTTCCTAACTTTTGAGTTTCGCAAGATTCTTAAAGAGATCATGCTTATAGCTACAGTTCAGAAGACCATACTGACTGTTTCTCTGCCTGAAGGCTAGGAAACTATAAATAGGCAGATTACTAATACAAAAACTATTAAGCTGTAATTTCTTAGTTACATGTCCACAAACTATTTTCTATTCCCGTTTCACAGGCTTTGTATCTGAGAAACAATACTTCAATCATAAGCATTGTTAACTATCCAAATAGAAAATATTACTATAAACCACAATGTTATAGCAACATTAATGAACAAAGATTGCTGTGTCTTGGCATTATTGTTCTGATTTTACTAGGACTCCATATATAAAGCCCTCCCAAAAAACAACTGTAGTTCTGAGACACAGAAATACACAAAGCCTCCTAAGTTCAGTGATTCACAACTGTCACTCACTGCTCTCTTCTCATATTTGAAAAGTTTTCAGTAAGTATGCTATTCTTTTCCTTTGTTATCTTGATCCCTTCCTAGTAATTCAGTGGATTGCTTCCAGAGTTCTGAAAATCTCTCTTTTTTTTCCTCCCTTAAAACTGTTGATTTGTTTACACAAGTCATCATATTCCTATCCAACTTGCATTGAACTCACTTGCAAATTTATCTTCTTTCATTTTTAAGATCTACTACTGATGATAACAATCTTTTGCTTGAAGTTTTTCATATCCTTCAAGTTTCTACTAGTAAGCCAAATTAGAAAAGCCCACTTTCTGAAAGAGACACGGGTATCTAACCACTGGAAATGCATAAACTCAGATTTCCCACATCAAAATAGAATCTATAGAACCTACTGTACTATTCTATGCGATTCCTTCTCTCATTAGTTGCACAGAAAGACTAATGCTGAACTTCAGGCTTGCTTTCCTCTGAAGTCAGGCACTCAGAACACATGCAGTTCTAGGTCAGTGATGTAGCATGTACGAATCTTTTCCATCTCTTGGCTAAAGTGACTCCTACACAGCATTAGCAGTAGCATCACTAAGCCCTCATCTAACCCCCTGTATGCCTTTTTTCCTTCCACAAACAAAACTAGAGTACCCAGGGAAAATTCAAGTGTGTCACATCCATAGCAATGACTGCTGTGCCATGTTCTTCCTCAAAGAATAATACACAAATGCATCTTTTGGCACAAGCCATTTTACTTCTGCCCACCAAACCAGCTCAGCTATTTTCTCACATTTCCATAGTTAAGACAAGCTGATACGCATAGAAGTATTTTGTTACAGAACATGTGAAAAGCTTTTCTTTGTGCATTTAAAAATAAACAATGATATTTTTAAGAAGAAACACAAAAGGGTCATTAAAATGCTAACCCTTCCACCCCCCCAATGCAGTTAATCTTAGAAGTGTAGTTGCTGCAGTATTTTATATATATAGAAATTACAGCGATGTACTAAAGTTATCTGTGTATTCTTTGCTTCAGCAAAACAAACAAATTGGAAAAAATAAGAAAATATCTGTACTTCATGTTGTTACATTCTTTACTTTACTTGTATGGCTAACCCCCTTCCCTGATATTTGTCTATTTATCTTGTCCAATTAGATCACAAACTAGTTTGGGCATTTTCTGCCATTTAGTATCTAGAAAAATGAGAATGAGGAATGAATGCCATTCTTAGGCAACCTGTAGGCACTGCTGCAATAAATGTGATCATTAACATCAAAATGAATGATTTTGCAAAACTCAATTTTTTTTCGTATTTATATCCAGACTTTAAGACCACAGTGGTTATATTATAGGTAAGTTGCTTTAACAACAGTAAGTACAAAGTCTTACTGTAACTAAAAATATCATGTTAAAGTAAACATATTCCATCTTCATAAAACTTGAGTATTTTAATCTCTCCACATTACATGCATATAAACTTTCCTTCAAAGGCCAGATACTACTCGTGGAAACAGTTTCACTGAATGAAAGTGAACTGTAAGCAATGAGATGAAGATACTAATAAATACAGAAATATTTCTCATTGAATCTGAAGCAACATGCACATGTTTTACACCTTTCAGAGCACAAATGCTTATAGAGCATAGGTTCTGTATAAATATACATGTTCTATATATTTAATTATAGGTTTAGCTATACATGTAATTTATATATGTATTTAATATACACATCTCCTAATTAGGGCATTTTTAGATAAATAACTGTAGGCAAGACAGCCCTTCGGGGAAGGCCAAACACTGTAGGCAAATAATTGATTCACAACAACAAAGAAAAGGAGAGACAAAACTTCTTCCTTCCTGAACTTGTTTAAAAAATAAGTAATACAGAAGTATTTTTTGTATATTTTAGTCTGTAAAGCTGGACATCTTAATTAGCCCAAAACTCTGAAAAGTTTTCATATGACTGAGAAAGTACAAGAGATACACTTTTATTCTAGAAAATACAAATTAAGCATCATGCACAAAAAGTATAACGATGTCCAATAAAAATGAAGTCAAATAACACTGGAATCATCCTACATTAGGAGTGCTGTATATACAACAAAGACATTCCCTTACAGTTAAAGCCTTCTGTTCCTATTTGTATGGAACCCTGAAGGCTTAAACTTGTCAAAAAATCAATACCTCCCTTTCTGCAACGTAAATCAGCTCAGACATACAAATGAGACAGAAGTAAATACACTTTTTGTATATGTTTATCTAACATCAAGCCAATATAAATATAACTTTGTACATTATGTGAGCAATGCTATCACACAGATAGTAAATATATAATTTCTATTTTATTCAGACACGTGTTTCTAATACAAACCCCAGATTAAATATGTACATAATTAAATAACTGAACTGAATTGACTGAGCCGAATTAAAAATACTGTATTTTGTAACAGGAAGAACTACTAAGGAAGCTTCTTGAATTTAGAGTGAACTATGAATTTTATCACAGAAAGTAAGATAAAATACTATTTGTCACCAACATTCCTGATCTAATAATCAAATGCTGACAGTGAAGTAATAAAGCCCTTTTCATTAGTACTTATTTGTCATTTAAAGAAATCCATAAACAATTATGGAAATAATTTCCCAAGAGTACAGACTAATGGAGGTAGGTACCTAACTCCCATTTATTCTATTGGATTTTGGTCCTAAATTCTATCAAGATTTCTTTAGAAATCACATCTTTATAGATTGTAAGGCTGAAAGAGATTATTATCACCATTCAAGTTTGGCATGCCTAACAGGCCACAGAAACTCATTTAGCAATTCCTGTATGGGAAGTTTAATAACTTCTGTTTGAAATAAACCACCTTTTTTTCCAAAGCACAACCAGCTATAGCATCTTTGAGATGGAAAGTCTAACACTCCCTTGCTAAACTAATCAAATGGTGAATTATGTTTCCATAACCACTAAAAAAAATTCAATTCATTTATACTATAAAAGGAGAGGAACCCTGTAACTGAGAAAAAACAACCTACACCCCAACAAATTGGACTCTTGCATTATTACTTCCTACAGAATGGTTCTCTCTAAGCCAACAAAGATGTACCCAGGCAAACCCATCCTGGAGTATCTTTTTTTGACTTTCGAGAGATAAGTCATTAAAAATGTACTCCTTTTTTTACAGTTTGAGCTGAAACAGATGTATAATTATCAGATATGTAACTTATTAAAACACATAAATCAGCTTTTTTTGTCCATTTCATTAATTTAAATAATGAAAACTGTAAATATTAGTATTAGGTACAGTTCAGTAAGTACCCTTTAAATGAGCTGGAAAAGAACTATCATTTAAGAAGAGGAAAAACTAGCTAAAAATAAGTTTTATCTAGAAGTGTTTAGTCTTAAAAGGGTTGAGGAATTACAGCCTGGCTCATGCCAGAACCTTACTGGGATCCTGAGACACCAGTCCACTAAAATTAAGCAAACTAAAATGCACTGAGGGTCATGATCTAGTGTTAAGTATTAGTGCATGCAAAGAGGGACCCAGGATCACTAAAAATGTTGGTGCTTTTCTTTTGTGGAGGTCTGGTATTCCTGCTCCTCCTTGTAGCGACTACAACACTTAGTAAGAAACAAAAGGACAAATGTGAGCCTCCAAATTAACAACTCTCCTCTTCCCTGCTCCTCCCTCCAAGACTCCAGTTACACCAATACAGGAAAATGTTAGTTTGAATCCATCTAAGCAGAGAAGGAAACTGAAGTCTACAACTTTAGCAGGAAGTGTTCAGTTCTCATTACTGTAATTCTCATTATCGCACATTCGGAGGAAGCCCCTCAATTCTTCCTAAGAAAGGTCTGACCAGCTGGAGCTTCCAGAAGATGTTGCCAGTGCTCCTGTTCTCTAGCTGTAAGGAGCTGCAGTTCAGATGCTCCAGCTTCAGATAGCTCTGAAGAGCGAATGTG